CTACGATTGTGTTGGCATTTATCTGATCTTTGATGACCAGTGATTTTTTTTATGAAGTTGGCTATGCCAATGTTTGGTGTGTATAATTTTACAGTTGTTATCACATCCTGTTGAATTGTTCCATTTACCAAAATTGAAAGGAATGAGGCTTGCGACAGGGAACCCGGATGGATGGTCCATCTGGACCCTAAGGCCTCCTCAGACACGAGCAGGCACTGAACACATCATAGGGACATTGGCTCAAAGACTTGCACAGCAGGCTGACAGGGTGAGGAGAGGAAGCGTTCTGGATTCATGATGATGTTCGAAGGGGGAGAAAGGGTCAAGAAAGATCCAGACCCACAAATCCACCCAGATCTCCCTGAAGCTTCAAAGCTTGCCCCCTTGGGATGTGGAGGAAAGAGCCCACTGCCTGAATTCAGACTCCAATGTACATAGCACAGTGAGGATGTTTTAATTTTGTGTTCTTTTAACTACATGGGGTTTTGTGTTTGGGGTGTTGTTTGTTTGGCTTTTTGTTATTATTGTTGTTACTGCCTTTTTCCTTCTTATCCTTGAGTAGTGGTAATTAAGTGATAATAAACATTTCTATGTATACTTGTTGGCCATTTGCATATCTTATTTGAAGAAGTACCCATTTGTATCCTTGGCCACTTAAAAATTTCAGTCTTGTTGCTGTTGAATTATAGTTCTTTCTATATTCTGAATATTGAACTTACCAAATACATGGTTTTCAAATATTTCTTACTCTGTAAGTTGCCTCTTTGCTATGTTAACTTTGTCCTTTGAGGCACAGAAATTTTTTATTTTGTTATAATTCATATTGTCTATTTTTACTTTGGTTACTGGTATTTTTGGTATCATAACCAAGAAATCACTTCCAACTCCAATGCATGACAATTTTCCTCTTGTTTTTGTCTGAGAATTTTATAGTAGTAGTTTTTTGGTTTAGATTTTGATCCTTTTTAAATTACTTTTTTGTGTATGGTGTAAGGTAGGGTCTGTCTTTATTCTTCTACATGTAGATGTCAAATTTTCCCAAAGCCATTTGCTAAAGATACCCTTTTTCCCATGGAATGGTGACACTCATGAAAAATCATTTGACTGCTTATGCAAGGTTAGTTTGTTTGTTTGTTTTTTTTTCTATTTGTATTTTATTTCACGGCCTATGTATGTTTGTGTTTGTCATTATCAACTGTTTTGATTGCTGTACAACTGTTTTGATTGGGCTGTAGTAAGCATTGACATTGGGAAATATAGGATTTCTAGCTTTTATTTATTTTTTAGTTGTTTGGCTATCACTGGAAGAAAGATAGTCTCTTTAATGAATGGTGCTGGAAAAACTGGCTTTCTACATGCTGAAGGTTAAAATTAGACCCTTGTGGGGCCAGGGAGATAGCTCAGTAGAATAAGTGCTTGCCTGGCAAGTATAAGGGCCTCAGTTCAATGCCTGGTTCTGCAACAAATAAATACATAAATAAAATAAAATTAGACTTGTCTATCACCATGAATTATAAAGTTAAAATGGATCAAAGATTTAAATATTGAAACAGAGACACTAAGTCTGCTGAAGGACAAAGTAGGTAGAAATCTTGAAGTCTGAGGGATAGGCAGAAATAAAACCAAAAACCAACTGCATGGGAAAAGAATCAACACCTGGGATCTCAGCTTTTTGAAAAGATTCTACACATCAAAAGAAGTCACCAACAGAGTAAAAAGAAAACCCACAAGTTAGAAAAATTTTAGCTGATTGTCCCTCAGATGAAGAACTTCTATTTATAACATAAAGAATTTTAAAAAGTCAGGCACCCCAAATTCAAAGACCCAATCCAAAAATGAGCATCTGAGATGAATGTATACTTCTCAGATGAAGAAATACAAATGGCAAATAAACATGAGAAAATGTTCATCATCATTGATCATTTGAGAAATGCAAATTAAAACACTACTGAGATTCCTTCTTACCTCAGAAAGAATGGCTATTATCAAGAAGTTAACCAGTAAGGAATGCTGGAGGAGCTGTTGGGGAAAAGGAACCCTTCTCTACTGTTGGTGAAAGTGTAGTTTGCTACAACTTCTGTGGAAATCAGCATGGAGAATCCTTAAAAGACTAGGATTAGGTGTCCCATTCAACCTAGTCATTCCCCTCCTGGGTATTTTTTCAGAACTAAAAACATTATACTCTAGCGATATATGTACACCCATATTTGACATATATGACAAATATATGTGCAGCGCAATTTGTCATAGCTAAATCTTGGAAACAACCCAAATGCCCGTCAACTGAAGAATGGATAAAAAAGATGTGGTATTTTCACACAATGGAGTATTATTCAGCTATTCAAAAAAAGGACAAACTAGAGGCCTTTATAGGTAAATGGATTTGTCTCATAAGTGAGATAAATGAGACCTGCATGTGTTATTGTAAACACTGTGTTATCTTCCTAGTGTAAGAAACTGAAAGAATAAATAAAATCTGAAAGATACAATAGATACTGTGAAAGGAAAGAATCTGTTTAAAGGGAGGGAGCAACTGAGATGAGGGTAAGGAGAAAAGAAGGAAGGGAAAAAGAAATATATACAGAGGATAGCTTGGATACTTATACTGCTGATTTCTGCTGAAAGGTCTGTTGAAAGGAGCAGTTAGGGCCGGCCAAATAGCTCAGTGGATTAAAGCGCTTGCTTAGGTAGATGGGGGTGGGTGGGTGGGGTGTCAAACCACCGCCCACCCCCCTGCTGTGCTGGCCCCAACCCTGGGGCCAGCTGAGATGGTAATTGAGCCTGGGCATGGTACCGGCCTGTAATCCCAGCACTTGGGCAGCTGTAAACAGGAGGATCACTGTGAGTCTGACCTATTTAGTAAGACCCTGTAGACCTTGTACTAAATACATAAAAAATTTTAAAAAAAGAAAGGAGTAGTTAATGCTTAAGTTTTTTTCTTTCTTTTAATTTTTTTAATAACTTTGCATGCTTATATCTAGTAATCTAAGCAACTAATTTGGAGACAGCAATATGCAATATAACAACCATTGTTTAGTTCCTATCATTTTGTTTTGTGAAATTCTATATCATTTAAAATGTCCTCTTAAACTATTTTTTGGGGCCAGGGAGATGGCTCAGTAGAATAAGTGCTTACCTGGCAAGCGCAAGGGTCTGAGTTCAATCCCCAGTTCAGCCAAAAAAAAAAAAAAAAAAAAAAACAAAAAACTTTTTTGTTCTCTTTAGTACAATAATTATTTGGCTATGCAGAATCCCTTGAAATTTCATATGAATTTCAGAATGAATTTTCCTTTCTATAAAAATTACCATTGGGTTTATCATGAAGATTGCACTAAATCAGAAGGCTGCTTTAGATAGTATTGATACGTGACCTAATCCCTTTTGTGCTGCTATAACAAAATACTTGAGACTGGAAGACTTGTAAAGAAAAGACACTTCTTTCTTACAGTCTTGGAAATCTATAAATCTGAGCTCAAGCATCACCCTTGGCTGAGGACCTTCTTGTTGTGCTGAAACATGTGAGAGGATAGGATGGTGCAAGGGGCAAGGCTGCATCCTCATGTGGCAGCAGAACAGGAGAACAAGCTGGGTGGATGCTGGGTAGCCTCTGTGCGAAGGGCCTTGACCCTGTGCAGGAAGGTGCTGCCCGTGTGGCTTAATCACCTCTTAAAGGGCCCACCTTATACTGCAGTGTGAGCAGCGCCTGAATTTTGGAAGACGCGTTTAGATCACAGAAGCCTTATAAGAACAAGATGTCTTTCAGTCCATGAAATTGGATGCCTCAATGTTGTCGTCACTTTAGTGTATTTTTTTCACTGCCTTAATTATTTTTGGTATTTTAAAAATTATTTATTTGATATAGAGTCTCACTGCACAGCTCCAACTCACAGTGATCCTCCTGTCTCAGCCTCCCCAGAGCTGGGATTATAGGTGTGCACCATGTCTGATTTCTATGGCCAGCTCAGCTTTGGGTGGGGCCCACATGGCATATGGTACTGGCGATTGAACCCAGGTCCTTGCACTTGCCAGGCAAGCACTTGCCAGATCACCAAGCTGTGTCCGTGTCCCTATTTCTGTATTTTTTGATGCTATTACAAATAATTTCTACTCATTGATGCTTTAAAATTTTCTTTTACATTTAATCCACTTGAGATATATTTTACTTTACAATGAAAAATAAGCCACTATCTTTTAAATTTTCCAAATAGTAGAATCATAGTTCCATGTATTAAGTAATATTTGCATTTCTATAGATTTTTGATATCCTGTTCATCATATGGTTGACACCCCCACCCCTGCCCTGTTTTTTGGTCTTTTTTTTTTTTTTGTGGAACTGCGGATAGAACTCAGGCCCTTGCACTTGCCAGGCAAGTGCTTATTCTACTGAGCTATCTCCCTGGCCCCCTTTGGTCTTTTATTTTTTATTTTATTTTTTTTTTTTTGTTCCGAATGCCTTCAGGGCAGGTTTGGCTGACTTGAGTTGTGGGGATTGAACCACGGCAACCTGAGCCTGACTGCTTTGTTGAAGCAGCCACTTAAAGCACTGAGCTTAGGGGCAGGCCCCCTAGTCTTTCAGAGACAGGATCTCACAATAGAGTTCAGGCTGACTTTGAACTCATGTTGTCATCCAGGCTGGTCTCAAACTTGTAGCAATCCCCCTGCCTCAGAGGTCTGTGCCACCACACCCAACTTAAATACCTATTTTTTTACCAGAATGTTTTCCCTGGGTTACCTATACCATGCAGTTGGCAGTAGAGATAAGAAAGCAATTGCCAAGCCATGTCACTGCTCTGCCTTCTTGCTTTTGTCTGTAAATGGTTGGCCTTTTTCCTTTCATGTTTACCATCTAAAACCAAATGACTGCTTCTTGTTAGGATCACTAGCTTCTTTAATGTCAGCACACTTATTTTTATTTTGAATCGCAGCTGTGTTAATCTAGAGCTTGGTGACTCTTACAGTAGCTTAGGCCTTCTAAACATTGTTCTCATTGCCCCTGCCAGGTATTCGTGCATTTGTTGGTGTGCCTCTTATTTCCTTGGGCATGAAGACAGTGAAGCAACCAGTGTATGTAAGTACTTGGAGAATTCGGGTTTGACTGATCATTTCGTTCTGCTGCTTCAGTCTTACTGCTTCGTCATTTTCTTTGTCAACATATTCCGGCATGTCGCTTCTCAGTTTCCTTAAGAGGTATGGGTCTTCTTGGCATCTTTGTTCAACTGCATGTTCATTTAAGAAAGCTTTATGTTTGTGTGGAGATAGCTCTGTAGATCCAATTGCTCTCTGTAGTGTTCTCCAGTGGAGGCAGGTAAGTAGAACAGTTACCAGACAGTGTAATAGGGGCTACCATAGGCAGTCACACGTAATTACACCAGACGGGCACCTAATACAGGCATGGACCTCTCAAGAAATGTGTCCCAACACTAGGTAGTATAGCAGAAGCTGCGGAAGGTTTTTATTTCTTGTAGAGGGCTCAGAGGTGGAGGAGTGTGTTGGATTCCTTCTGAAGCTGAGTGAGGATTTCCTCGCTGGTGGCACCACTGACATTGGGGGCCAGGTAACTCTTTGTTCTGGTGTCTGTTGCAGTATGATTTATACCATTTCTGTCATTTAGCAATTAGATGCCAGAAGGCCTAGTCCCCTCCCTCCAGTCGTGATGTCTAAACAGACAGACAGTGTGCTGTGGTCCTGCTTGGTAGTTTGTAAGGGGAAGAGTGGTAGGAGAAGAGACTGGTGACATGGGGCCAGAGTCAGAATGGCCCGGAGCTAGCTGGAGATCTCGAGAAACCCTTGGGCGGGTAATGAAGGAGGGCGCATTTGAGCTCTTGAGAAGGTCGACTGTAAAGAAGCTTTCTGAAAATAGATGATGACATTATTTTAATTTTGCCACATTTTTGTTATGATTAGGGTCACCTGCTTTCCTTTTTCCCTTTATTCTTCTCCCCTTCTCCCTCTTTCCCTTCCTCTCTCTCTATCTCCCTTTTGTCTCTCTCTTCTTCAACAATTATTTAAACATGTTTAATTTCTGCAGGTTGTCGATGTAGCTAAAGGAATTATTAATGCAATTAAAGATCCAGATGCCAAAGGAAAAACCTTCACCTGTGTTGGGTGAGTGCCTAGAGTTTGATGTTAATGAAAGATTCATGGTTTGACCAACTATTTCTAGACAAGTCCCTAACAGATGTATTGTATTTTTACCATATCAGCATCTCCTGATCCCCAGAGCTGAAGAGGAAGTAAACTACCTATAGTTCATCTATTTGTGTTGCAGCTTTTACCTGCATCATACTGTTAGTAGATGTTGGTGGGCTAGCTTGTGGTCCGTGTTCTGCAGTGATCCTTGCAGATCTTCCTGGGATTTCAAGGAAGCTATGTAAGGACTTTGTATGATATTTCCCCTAGCTGATGTTGACATTTTATGGAGTTTTTTCCTTTTGGGAAAATATGTTACAGTAATGAAATTCTTACTGCATTATCTTCATTTAGCTCTCAATAATCATAGTTTTTCTGAGGCAAAAGAGATTAAGAAAACTGGTGAGAAGATATTAAGATTAAAATGTATTGTAAGAGAGGGTAATTATTAAAGTTAGGTTTGACTAGTAAAGACAATTCAGATCTGTGGAATAGGGAAGAAATAGTCCCAAATATTTATAAGAAAATACTGTGTGATAGGATGGTATTTTTAATATAAGGGAAAGGGTATATTCAGTAAATGATTCATTGAGTAGCATGGAAGCAGCAGGGTGACATGTTACGAAGAATTCAGCGACTTCTTTACCACATGTTATACAGAAAAATGTGTCGCAGAAGGGACCTGTGGTTTAAAGAAAATCTTAGACAAAAATATATGGAAATTTATGCCACTATAGAGGGATTTTTCTAAATATGAAACCAAACCATAAAAGAAAGATCATTAGTTATGATTAAATAAAATGTTTGACATTTTATATTATATGAAACACCAGAATGTGTTAAAAGACTAAATACACATCATAAAAGATGATCTTATCTATATCACTAAAATATAAAGAAGCTTTATGAATCATCATTAGGGACATGATCTGATAGCTCAGTGGCATAAGTGCCTGCCTGCAAGCACAAGATCATGAGTTCAATCCCCTGTACCAAAAAAAAAAAAAAATTCATTTTGGGGCCAGGGAAATGGTTCAGTAGAAGAAGCGCTTCCCTGTCAAGTTCAAGGGTCTGAGTTCAATCCCTGGTTCTGCCAAAAAGAAAACAGAAATACTTAATAAAAGTTTTAAATTTTCAGAATATACTTTGATCTAGTCCCATATCTAGAGACATATTCTAAGTACATAATCATGGATATGTATATGATTATTCACTGCAGGAATGTTCATTGAAGCAGTGTTTTTACAAAGGAAGATTTTGTTTTATTTAATTTATTTTTAATTTAATTTAATATTTTTATTCATTTTAACGAGAAAAAAGATAAAATAGCAACGAAACAGTTTTAAAAGAGGTTAGACAGTTACAATAAACATTACAACAAAGGAAGATTTTAATTAGCTTAAATTTTCCAAAACTGACAGTACAAATGTTCAGTCATTACGCATGCAGTAGAATATTTAGTGACATCAGAAGATGATTGTAACATAGTATTAAATTTAAAAACTGATGGCATAGGTTGTATAGTATCATAGAAGAAAAATGGATATATGAAAGGAAATGAAAACACTATACAGCAAGTACTTTAACTTCATCTTTAGCAGACATATTATAGGTAGTATTTCTTTGTGCTGATCTGTATTTGCTATAGTACATATATTTTTTTTTTTCTTTCTCAAAAGAAAAATGTAATTTTGTTAAAAATTTTGCTCGGAGCAACCATTATATTTGAAGAACTACATGTCTTCTCTTTCTAGGCCTAATCGGTACCTCCTCTTTGACCTTGTGCAGTACATCTATGCCGTAGCTTACAGACCTTTTCTCCCGTACCCCATCCCACGTTTTGCCTATCGGTGAGTCAAGTGCCTCTTTTGTGCACCCCCTGAAAAACAGCTACTCTGGTGCTCTCATTACTGCTGCCCTCCCTAGGGCAATGGGGAACATGTCCCTGACAATGTAGAGCAGCCTGCGGACCTCCAGGGAGAGGTACTCCTGTCCTGGTATGAGCCAAGACAAGAAGCAGAGGTGTCGGAGAAGGGGAGACATGGGTTGGAGTGGATGGGACAGTCTTTGTTGGGAGTGTCTTCCTGCCCACCAAGTAAAAACAGGCTTGTGCTGGGGACAGGGCTCAGTGATGGAGTGCTTGCTTCTCATGGTCCTGGCCCCGGCTTCCATCTCCAGCACTGTATAGAGCACAGTAACAAAACAGAATGAAAAGAATCCAGAGTTTTTTTTTTTGGAAAAGTGGCACATTGTGTAAGGGAGAGATCAGGTGGCCCTGTTTCATGGCACTTGCCTGGTGGGAGAGGGTTCCTTTTTTATTAAACCATTTTGCTCATGTAGTGGGGAAAGGAGCAGGTCTAATTCAGACTTGACCTTTCACTGCCTTCTATTCCTTCCCTCCACTTGGATCACTTCTTCCCTTTGTAAGTGGCTGTAAAGGTCACTTTGGACCTGTCTTGTCATACCCTAGTGGTATGAATAGGGAGATTTTCACATCCATTATGCCAGAGTGATTTTTAACCAATAAGACAGTGGACTCCATATTTACTCACTTAACAGATATTTACTGAATGCCTACTATATCTTAAGCAGTCCATTAGGTACTCAGAATGTTTACAGTAAACCTTCAGAAAAACAGTCAAGGGAGCTAGGAGTGTAGTTCAGTGGTAGAGCATGTGCTTAGCATGCATGAGGTCCTGAGTTCAGTGTTCAGCACCAATAAAACAAAACATACATATGCAGAGTAGTGTCATGGTGGATATTGGGAATATTCTCTTTTCCAGTCTTTTTTATTTGTTCAAAGTGTAAGGGAATGAAAAAAAGAGGTCATAGAACCCTGAAGAAAACCTGCACTTAACTCGAGCAGGGTTAGAGAACTTTACCAAGGAGGATAAAGACTGAAATGGCCAGTGAAGCACCTTTGGAAACCTAGATACTAAAGGGAAAGGAGGTCTGGAGAAGAAGGGGTGTTTATAGAAGGGGAACCTTGTAGGTTTGTGTACGTCTGTATCTCCAGCACCTACAACTGTGCCTGGCATAGAGTAAGAGCTTTGTTAATATTTCTGGACTATGATGCTGTAGAAAAATCAAGTAAGATAAAGGACCCAAAGATAGCCACAAGGATGAAAAAGATCTGGTGAACGGGAGTTTTAAGGTAGTGGAACAGCTATAGACCAGGTTGCAGTGAGCCACTTTCATGGTTGTGCATGGGTTGGCGTATGCGTGCAGCATGGCCCATCAAGGGAACTGGAGTAGACTAGAGGTGACTTGTTAGGTGGAAACAGTGTGGAGAGCTGGAGGTTTATGGGGGTGATTGCCCCTTCATTTATTTATATTTTAACTTTGTTTTATTAAAAATTATGTTAGCCCAATAGATCAGCTTTCTTGGTCATTGGGACAAGTTGAGTGGAATTGGAGATTTTATGTTTACTAGAGAAATTCTTTGTTTTTGTTTTTGTGTTTTAGGGAAGGGTCTACAGGGTGTTCAGGGTCTCACTACTAGATCAGACTCATAGTGATCCTCCTGTGTACAGCCTTCCAAGAGCTGGAATTACAGGTGCATGCCACCATGCCCAGTCTCAGTTGCTGTCTCAGTGAACCCCAGGGGCGGAGCTGGCATGGCAGGCCTAGGGCTTGAACCCCTGGCCCCTGTGCCTGCTTGCAGGTGCTTTAATACACTGAGCTATTTGGCCAGCCCTTACTAGAGAAATTCTGATTAGTCTTAGGCTTCCTATTTCATTTATTTCTTCTGTGGAAGTGATGTCTTGTGAGCTTCTACAAAGCTGTGATCTGTACTTTTTTGTTTTCTCTTTTTCTTTTTTTCTTTTCTTTTTTTTGTGGAACTGGGTATTGAACTCAAGCCCTTGCACTTGCCAAGCAAGTGCTTATTCTACTGAGCTATCTCGCAGTCCCCGATCTGTACATTTGCTGGGTTCTTGTGCTTAGAGGCACTCAGACGAATGGGCTAAAAACTGAGCTCATCTGGTTATGGTGATGGTAGTGCTCAGAGCTCACTTCCTGTCTGGATCTTGGGCTCTGTGGAGGCCAAGGATTCCCGCATGCCTCAGCTGCTGGTTGAAAACTCACCACCCTGTTTGTGCTCGCGACATGAAGTCCCATGGGCGAAGGGAAGCCTGCCGCAGTCACTGGCACCACAGAGAAGGCAGTGGTGGAGCCTGGGAGCCCCCATCTGGGCGTTGCTTCTTTTCCTGACTGTACTCATGGACTTTAAACTTCTCTTGATGTTGAGGATTTTGTGTCCAGGGGCTGTTGCCTTCGGGGATTGTGCATTCTGCGTACTACTTGGCTTGCCCTGCAGCCTAAGCAGCAGTATATCTGAGTGTCTCGAGCTTAGATTAGGTGAGGTTTCACAGCTTGATTGTTAAATTGTTTTGGGTTTGCTTTGTTGTTTGTTGGTAATATTTTATTTTAGTGTTTAGGTTTTTGTGGTTCTTTGCTTTTAGGTTTAGTTTTAAGTCAGTTATCTCTTTGGATTATATGATGAGTCTACCATTCCGCTTACCAGCTGGATTGTCTTGAAAGGAAGTGGGGACTCAGAATCCTTGGTGACCTCATAGGTAGTGATGCCAGGGTGTCGTTTATGTTCTTTAAAAAAATAATGCAGCAAAGTGTGGTGCACACCTATAATCCCAGCACTTGGGAGGCTGAGGCAGGAGGGTTGCCATGAGTTCCAAGTCCAGTTCAGCCTGTATAGTGAATTCAGAGTCAGCCTGAACTGCATAGTGAGACCCCATCTCAAAAAAAAAAAAAAAAAAAAGCAGTGAATTCCTCCCGCTCCAGCAGCCCTTCTTCTTGTGGGGCTTGTAGGCTGGCTAAGCACTTGGCAAACTAAGTGATGCATATCACATGTGCCATTGTACTCCTTTTTCCAGATGGGTGGCCAGGCTCTTCGAGATGAACCCATTTGAGCCCTGGACAACGAGGGATAAAGTAGAGCGGGTGAGTGTGGCTGCGTGCAGCATGTGGAACTCCTCCGTTGTCGCCTGCCCCCTTACCTTCTCTCCATGCATTAGTCGTTCCTCCCCCCCACCCTTATTGGAAGCCAGTCTTTCTCCTCCATGACCCTCTAGCCACTTTCATGTTTGTCTGTGTCCCTTTACACCCTAAGCTCAAAAGAGTTACCTGTGTTTGTTAACAACTTCTTACCGCATTCTTTCTTTTCCTCACTTTAGTCAGTTCTCTACCCTAAAACTGGCTTTTCCAAGGTTTCCCATGATTTCTGTGCTGGAAGATCCCGAAGTCAGTTCTTTGACCTCCCTGCCCTCTCTCTGTGGGTGGCCTTGGTTAGGGGAGATGCTTCCTTGATGCCCTGTCTTCCAATCCGTGCCCTCTTGTTTTCTCCTCACTTGGAAGGCTGTGCTGTGAGGCCGTCTGCCTCACGCTCTCCTTCATGCTTCTGCATAATGGGGGATTCCAAGGTCTGTCCTCAGCCTTTCCTTCCTGCCTGTACCTTTTCTAAATGCTATATGTGGTATTTTGTCCTGGGCTGCAGCTCTGGACAGTGGAGCTCATGGGTACACTGTTTTCTCTAGTCCTGGATCTCCTCCCTGAGGTTTTGAGTCCTGTATCTAACACCCTTGATGTTTTGGTGTTTAGTCTAGAGCCAAACCAGTGACCAGAGTATATCAGAATATGAGGGTGGTATGACTGCAAATATGAGGCTTGCAAGTTAATTAATTTGAAATTAGTCACCACATGTGACTTCTGTATTGGGCAGCATAAAGCTAGACAATCAGCAACCCTCAAAGTAGAGGCCAAATCTTAGCATTCCTCCCTAATCCTATTGTGAAAATGTTTGTGATAATCCTGGAAATTTTCAGCTTATCAAAAGCAGAATACACACCGTCTCTGCTCTCCCCACTCCAAGTGTCTTTAAGTTCCTCTCTTGCTGCCACACTCAGTGCCTGCAGTGAGCTGAACTCCAGTGCCCTGGTTCCTCCCTTCCCACTCTCGTTGATCATTTGCCTCCTGCATGAACAGGTGCTTCTAGGGAGGATGCTAATAAAATGACCATACTGTCCTGTCTGTTCCTGGGAAGCCAGGAGAGGGAGCAGCCATGCTGTCCCTGAGTGTTACCCAGAAGCTGAGGAGCAGAGCAGCCGAGGAAGCAGCAGTAGGGAACAGGCAGCTGTCCTTCCCCACTGCGTCCTTTGTGTGTTCATGAAATACGGATTTATCTGACACCTTTCTTAGACTGATGTGCCCCTCACAATGAGCCCTGAGAAAGCACTGGCTTGGTGGGTAGATTTGGAGACTGCCTTATAGCACTCAATAAAAGAACATGCAGGCTTTGGGGTGGATAGGGAGAAGGATTGGCGCTGCTGCCATACATGTACAGTGCTGCTGTTTTGGTGCTTTTGGATGATCTGGAATCTCACAGATCATTCCCCCTCAACCCAGTTGTCTCGGCTTCTTACCTGGTAGTGAGCTTCAGTCACCTTGATTGAGAACAGTTGGAGCAGAGGTTATTGGGTTACCTCTTCAGAGGCAAGGAACAAGCGCTATACTCTCCATAATTCAGAGGTTAAAAACTGAAGCAGAGACCTGGCACAAGAGAACACAGTCTGGGCTCGCTCTGCTTTGCCCCATTTCCTTCCGAGCCCTCCTGCTACGCCGCCCAGTTCCTGTGCTGAGCTTGCCTCCCGGTGTACGTGTGGCTTAGCGTACCGAGCCTGTGAGCAGTGCTGGAACCTGGGGCTCATATTTACTGATCTTCACTGGTGATTTGTTTTTCTGTGTTCTACTTTTACCGAGTTCTAATACTCAAAATGCCACATATATCAAGCACTATGATGCACACCTATAATCCCAGCACTTGGGGAGGCTGAGGCAAGAAGATTGCAAGTTCTTTTGGGCAATTTAGCAATGTAGCGAGTCCTGTCTCAAAAAAAATAAGCTGAGAATGTAGCTCAGTATTAAAGCCATGGGTTTAATCCCTAGAATGACCAAGAAAAAATCTCCACATATTCCTTGGCCTCAGTGTTTGAGAGTTTGCTGGGGCAGTGCTCTGCTTTTGACTGGTTCTCAACATCCCTTGTGGCCCTGTGTTTATTCCAAGATTCACATCACAGACAAGCTGCTGCCACACCTGCCTGGCCTGGAAGACCTCGACATTCAGACAACACCGCTAGAGCTGAAGGCCATCGAGGTGCTGCGGCGCCACCGCAGTTACCGCTGGCTGTCAGCTGAGCTAGACACTGTGAAGCCCGCCAAGACCGTCAGCTTTTAGTGCCTGTGCAGCCCTTGGTTTTGGTGTCACTGAGTCACCTGGCTCTAGAGGATCCTGCACACAGTGCTGAGATCCCTCTATTAAACACCTGCAGTTCGATTCGGCAGCATTGTTTCTTGGTTTGCAAAAGGAAAAATCCCAGCGATTTAGAATTTGAGTATAATTTTCTTTGTATATATTTAATAATGATACTTATCATTTATTCTCTGAAACGTTGAAGGCTTTGAATTTCTGTTTACTGAGTTAAGCTGCTTGTAGCATATGTTCTAGAAGACCAACCCCCCTGCCCAAGTCAAAATATTATGAGGATCCCAGGTACTTATGGTTGTCTCCAGTGTAAATGGGAAAATGTACAGTGTCCCATAGCTAATCTGAATTTACTTACACTTTATATGTTTTAAATTTTTATTTTATTGTTTGTTTGTTTTGGTACCGTGAGTCACACTTGGGGCCTCATGCTTGCCACGCAAGCACTGGCCCTCTGAGCTATATCCCCAACCCGTAAAAATTCTTTTTTTTTTTTAGTACTGGGGATTGAACTCAGGGCGTTGCTCTTGCCAGGCAAGCGCTTATTCTACTGAGCCATCTCCCCAGCCCTAAAAATTCATTTTAAAGATACACTTTAAGCAGTGGTATACAGGAAGTATGATCAGAATATAGAGTGAATATTTAAATGTAGTTCATTCATATCTGGCAGTAAAAGACACATTTCAGTTACCCCCAAGTCCTCTACTCTTAGTATCCCATCATTTGTACTCTGAAACAATGCTGATCAAAAGTGCGGTGAGTGCTGGGACTGAGTGCTGTGCGACAGGGAGGCAGACTCACGAAGCATCTCACTGTATCCTCGTCCACCTTGTTCACTGACTTTGGTACCAAACAGTTTTTGACTTGTCCAAAGCCAAATATGACCGGGGCTGGGGAGATGGCTCAGTAGAATAAGTTCTTGCCTTGCAAGCGCAAGGGCCTGAGTTCAATCCCTGGTTCCGCCAAAGCCAAATAACCATAGAAGGTCAGCATTTGAATTGATTCAGGACATGGAGGCAGCCCTGTCAGTGCAGTTGAAGACGTTGCCTCAGCACTGCCTCAGGGCCTGTGAGATGGGAGAATCCTGTTCTGAGCTGCAGCATTGTGTATGAGGTAGGTGGCAGCGTGGCTTTAACTGTAATGGTATTTTAAAGTCGAACATTCATCATATTTTTTATTACACCTTTGTGGACATGGATTCTCAAATCCTTAGGATCTTGGATTTGAGCTGAGGCCTCCTGCCCATTCTGTTAGGAATCTTTTCCCTGCAAAAGAGATGCTTCAGCTTCTTTGCCAGTGATGTCAATACTTCCAAATCAGGACTTTTGGTTTATGAGTTAATTTTGGAGCTAAGAGCTACGAAACAGTTTGTTTAGTTAGCAAATCTCTCAGTACTGTATGATTAAACTCTCAATCTGTGGTGAAGCTGCCCATTGCCATCCTTGGTACTCAGGTTGGTCACTGTTCTTCACTAGATTCCAGCTCCCTGTTCTCTTGAACGGGAATGTCCCTGAGCCCTGTCCAGTGGCAGTAATGTCCCAGGCAAAGCATTGGAGGCGAGTCTGCCCACTGTGTGTGCCCCAGCATCTTCATCCTGGAGCGAGCAGCAATGTAGCCCATACATCGGGAGCATCAGCATCTCTGGGCACCTGTTTGAAATGTGGTTGCGCAGCCCCATCCCAGGTCTGCCGGACCAGAGCCTGCTGTCAGCCGGGTTCCCAGATGCCTGTTTGCCCACAGAAGTCTGAGAAGCAGTGCTGTCCAGAAGAGCTGCCAACGGTGTGTGTGGCCCAGGCTAGCGATCCATGTTATTGAGTGTCAGAGCCTCCGGAAGGAGGGCCTGGAGTTCTGTGTTTATAGCGTGGTTTATGCTCATGTGCTGTAACATGTGAGAACCAGTGCACTGGGCTGTGGAGCCCAGCTCTCTATTTCTTCAGAATAGAGGTCTCTTTTTGTTTTGGATAAGTGGTCAGGAGATGCACAGAAGGAGATTATGATTTGAAAACAAATAGTAGTTCTGTGGCGTATAGCACCCTCTCCTAAAAAAACTGAATTTTCCAAGCAACATTGGTCTCATCTCTTAACTGTATTATAATTCATAACCCTGCCTGTTTTCTTTCTTTAAAATAATTCAGCCAGGATATATTTTCTTCCCTATCACACCAAATGCCCCTTTTACAACGTATTTTATTGTGTACCTTTTATTACCCTGATAGGAAAACCATAGTTCCATATTGTCATCACACCTGCCTATGTAATCAGAATGAAGTAGTGCACAGTAACGTGGCCTGTATGTAGGTGTGGACACAGTGACAGTGAAGGCTCAGCAAGGTGTCACTTGCTCCCGTCTACGTGGGCCAGCCTCCTACACACCATAGCAACAGATGCAGACTGCTCCTTCAGCGCCGGTGATGTGGCCTCTTGATACTGTGAATGGCGTTGGTGTCATTACTGTTGGATGGAATAGTGAATGGCGTCTCATAAAGTTCAGGGCAAACACAATTTAATTGTTCTAGTCACTTTCTCATGACACCACCGGACAGCCACAGCTTACAGGAGAGATGGTTTTGGCTCACGCCTACAGTCCCTGTTGGGCCTGCTCCAAGCAGGGACATGGTGTGGCGGAAGGGCCTGCCTGGAAGAAAGCAGTTCACTTAGCAGGTTGGAAGCTAGGCAAGAAGGGGGAGCCCTGGAGGGAGTGTCCTCCTCCTGATCACACCCAGGGGCCCACATTTTCCTACCAGCCAATCAACAGTGTCACTCCCATGACTCAGTCACCTCCCCAAAGCCCCACCTGTGAGCTCATGCAGCCTTTGGGGGACATTTTTGGTTGAAACTATGCCAGTAACTCTCCTTAGATTTATGTGAAGGTTGCATTCTTAAAAGTTGGTGTATATTAAACTCATGCCAAAGGTCCATTATATCTATAAAAAGATGCTGAGTTTAGATGGCTGTCAATTGAAATGTGTTTCACTTCTTTATTTCTGTATTCTGCACCATACTGTGTCTACCATCCCCCCTCCCACCCACTGAATGTGAACAAAGCCCTTTGAAACTGCATATTACAGTGCCTGCTCACAGCATGTCATCTGCTGATGTTACCACAAATGGCCTTGTGCTAGGTGATAGGCCTGGAGGAAAATGACATTTCTACTAGTGAATTCTACTAGTGAATTGAGCCACCAGTAGCATTGTACCACCCGATGGGACTGTCCTAGGCTACCCAATGGGCAATCATGCATGGACCACCCTTGGTTCAGAGCTGCCCAAAAGCGAGACAGACAGATTACTGCCCCATCACGAACAGGCCAATGTTAGGGCACTGACAGAAACAGTCATATCTCAGTGTAGACCTTCAGGTTTCCTGAAGGGCAGTTAATTATCAAGAGGTCTTCAAATTATGTAATCTTTTGAATTAATAAAAATAATATTTAAACTTAACACATTTATTTATGAATCTAGTAAATTTAGCACTTGCTTTTCAGAAGTTATCATTGAGTTCCTTAAAACTTTTAGTTTTAAAGTGCATTTTTAAATTTAACCAATTCTTTCTGAAACTTTACAACCATGTAAGTACTTTAAACATTCTAGTAAAGCTTATAAATTATTTGTATAGATAGTTATCTTAAAAGTTAGTAATAATTATAACACTATATGTTAATTATAACATTAAAATGGAGACTGGGCATGGTGGTGTATGCCTCTAATCCCAGACCTTGGGAGGCTGTAAACAGGCAGATCACTACAATCTTGTAGTGAGACCCTGAACACCCTTGTAGGCCCTTCCCTAAAATACAAAAAAAAAGGGGCCAGGGAGATGGCTCCATAGAACAAGCACTTCCCTGGCTAGGGCAAGGACCTGAGTTCAATCCCCAGTTCTGCCAAAAAATAAAATAAAATACAAAAAAATCTTTAAAATGCTATTTCTTTCAACTTAAAAATTGAAATCTAATTTAATAAATACATATTTTACACTGGAGTCAGGATGAATCTGTTAGACTCTAAAATGCAGATTTCTTGAATACTTCAAATACTTTAAGTATCAATATTCGCAGCTGGGAAGATAGCTCAGCAGAATAAGTGCTTGCCTGGCAAGTGCGAAGGCCTGAGTTCAATCCCCCATTCCACACACACAAAAGAGTAAATACCAGTATTCATAGATTATTCCCAAGTTTGATGTAAAATCAGCAATGGTTTGGATCCCTAAAGTCTTTCTGAGGCTGAAGTCTTATACCCGCTGCCATCCACTCCTGTTGCTGTCGTACCTTAGATTGGATGATTTAGAAGTCACATAAATTCTCACAGTTCTGGAGATTTGAACGTCAAGACCAGGGAGCCAGCAGTCCCGGACTCTGCCTCGGGCTCTGCTCAGGGGAGCACCTTGCTGTGTGAGCCTGGAAGGGGCAAGGACAGAGGCACCAGCTGCCGCTTCAGCTTGTGTATGATCCCTGGTCCCACTCAGTGAGGGCAGAGATCTTACCACCCAGTCACCTCCTTCGGGCCCTAAGGAGTTCTTAGTACCGGCAGCACTTGGGTGCATTTCATTATGAAGTTTTGAGGAATACAGGCATTTAAACCATACAACCATGGAACACTTTCTAACCACCCCAGGCCACTTGGGACCTTCTTCTCAGTGAATGGCAAGTGCCTGCGCCAGGGATGGTGAGCAGGGCTGCACAGGACACTTCCAGGGAGTTTTCATGCTGGAGGGGGTGGACAGAGCCTCTGTGTACAGGGGCTGTTTCTGCAGGGCTGCAGCGCACACCCTTCTGGAGCTACACTCAGCTTGGATCCAGATGGTGAGAAGCCGATGTGCACAGCCAGCTTGAGCCTGCAGTCCTGCACTTCCAACCAGTTCCCATTACATTTCCATGCGTCCTTACGTTTAGCATTAAGCCTATGTAATTTGACAAATCTACTTTCTGATTCTGCTGTAAATTCCCTTGAAAGGCCCTGCTGTGTGCCTGGGTCCTCTTGTATATATCCCTCAGGCAAATACAAGATCTAGGGACTGAGGAGATGGCTCAGTGGAATAAGTGCTTTCCTGGCAAGTGCAAGGGCCTGAGTTCAGTCCCTGGT